CACCTGGCCAAAAGGAGGCCCAGATTCCCCCGGAGAGGCCTAGTGGTGAAAATTGGCCTTGGGGGTACCTCGGTTCACCATGGGGCACATAAGGAGGCCCATTGGGCTGGCTGAAACACTGTGCCAAGCCTATTTAAGATGGGAGAGCAGTCCGCCACATTCACATTTGTTTGAGGCAAGTACATGCTGTTTGCATGAGCCCAAGAGAGCTTCACTCTCACTTAGACTGAGAAGAGGGGAACCCCTGCCAGTTTGGGAATTTAGAGGAAACTGTAGGTTAATGCGAGGAGCTCTAGAGGCTGGTGGTAGTGAGGCTGGCCTAGGAAGATGGTCCGCCATAGCCCCAAGCTGTGAGAAAGCAGGAAAGGCTAGAGAGAGTCCCATTAGCCCTCCTAGAGGGGAGGACTCCATAGCCATAGAGATAAGATCTTATCACAATCAGGAAGGAACTAAGGAGGAGGAATGAGAAGGGCTTGAGGAAGAAAGAAACCATAGCCAAGTAGAGAGAAGCTCCATCAAGATTAAACACTTAAACTCCAAGGCACTAGAGAAGGTGAGTGGAAAAGGAGGAGAAAATTCCTTCTCTTCATCTTCTTTTTCTTCTCCTTCTTCTTTTTACTCTTCTTCTTCTTCCTCTTCACCCATCCACCATAGCCAACAACCTCGCACCATCTTCCTCCTTTATCTTCTTCACCCATTCACCATAGCCAACCGCCTCACACCATCTTCCTCCTCCATCTTTTTCACCCATCCACCATAGCCAACCACCTCACACCTCCTTCCTCATCTTCCTCAATCATCTTTCATATCCAATCGCCTCATACCTCCTTCCCACTTCACTCCTTTCATCAACCAAAGACCATGATCAAAGGAACACAATGGAACAAGGTATAGAGAGGGAACCTTAGGTAGGATGGTAGGACGAGTAAGGGGATAAGTTTGATTAGGAGTAGGGAGTCTCTCTCTCTCTCTCTCTCTCTCTCTCTCTCTCTCTCTCTCTCTCTNCTCTCTCTCTCTCTCTCTCTCTCTCTCTCTCTCTCTCTCTCTCTCTCTCTCTCTCTCTCTCTCTCTCTCTCTCTCTCTCTCTCTCGCTCCTTCCTCCCCTATCCTCTTTCTCCTTCTCTCTCTCTTTCTTCCACTTCTTCCTCCTTCACCGCCGCCTCCCTCTTCCCGTCGTCGTCCTTCTCCCACATTCTAAAGCCTTGACCTTACCTTCTCTCCCTCCCTCTCCTCTTGGCATATAACTAACCCTTCCCACTCACTTGTTACATTGCCAGGGAACGAATGGTGAAAGAAATTTGTCCTCACTTGGCAGAGAAAGTGGGCAAGGAGAGGGTTGTCGGTCCCTTGTGCCGCCAAGAAGGAAAGGAAATGTCACTTGAGAAATCGGAAGGAGGCAAGTCCGGAAAGGGACTAAAGAAAGTTGGTACTTAAAGCAAGGTCAGTTGACTCAACCATTACCCCGACTTCATGACTAAGGGAAGAGATTTGTCTAGGCTTAGGAAGGAAAAGGAAAGCACAAAGACCTAAGGAAAAATGAACTTAGGTTTGTGGGAGGGATTATGTGTTGACCCCGTGTGGGGGATGCTTTGCATAAATTGTGTTGAATATGCAGGTAAGTAGCCTAAAGAGTCATTGAGCGGGAATGGGTCCTGGGAATGTTGGGCGGCAAAGAGAAAGTGGGACTGAGATCAAACGGGTTGTGGACTTAATTATTGCCCTTGAATAAGTTTTTGAGCATCTTTGTGCAAAGCAAAGTCGGCTATAGCAAATTGCAAAGTTCTAGGGAGGCGAAGAGGGAAGCAGGCAAAGCTCTAGGGAGGCATAGGGGGACCGCAAGACATGGTCCGCGGACCCGAGCCGAAGGGCGGCCGCAGGCTCAACAAGGCTTTGAGGACTCCCCGCTTAGCGAATGCATGTGTGGCCCAAGGAGAACGCTTGGCCTACGCATAAAAGAAGACAGACTTTCAATAAACTCCCTGGACTCCTTGAGTATTGGAAGGAGCTATTGCATGATAACACCTCAACGTATCAAGAAAACCGCGCTTGACGAAAAGATTGGCGAGACTACCATCCAGCGAGAGGGCGCCCTAGAGAGGTTGTCAAAGCGGGGAATCGAGTACTATTCTATAGTCGGACGGGGGAGCGGACCAATTACGGTCTTTTCCCAGAAAGTGGTCGAATGGCGAGATTGGAAAGGCTGCTTTTTGAATGAGGCGATTCGAAAAATCTAGGGCCCATAGAACCTAAAATCCCGAGTAACATGTGCCCCCCCCCCCAAAAAAAAAATTCCCTGGTTTATGCAGATTCAGGCAAAATGACGACGGAGAACGAGACAGGCGATAGCAGGAGCGAGGGAGGACAAGACGTAGGTGGTAGTCTTGTACAAAGCAAAGGGGGTCAGAAGGTCAGGAAGGAACTCTCGTCGGTAGAAAGCTCGAGAAAAGACGGAGGAAGCAAACGAGGGACTCAAAAACCAGCAATGATAGAGGTAAAAAAGGATCGGACACGCAAAATTCGGATGGGGCTGTATCAAAGAACGCGAGAGTCACGGACGTGCGACGCAAGCTAACGGAGGTAGAGAAGAGGACCGTGGAGTACAAGGCAAGGTTGATCGAGGAAATAATGATCAGAAGCGAGGAGGACCTTTCGAGGGAAGAACTGCGTGACGAACGGAGAACCAGCCAAGGCGGAATCGGGCAGGGGGGTAAACATAGTGATCACAGGAGGACGCCCAGCAAGAGAGGGAAAGAAAGGGGGGACTCTCCTGGAGTGGAAGCGGAAAAAGCTACAAACCCGCCAACCATACACAATAAGGTTAGTCGTCTGCCGACCGCACCAATAGTTATGCGGGGGTGCGAGGGACTTTGGAGCCTTAGGGAAAGAGTATTAGGATGGTTCGATTCGGAGGGGACCGCAAAAGCCGGAGAGATACGAAGGGCAGGCAAGGAAGGACAAGGAACTAGTGCGGCCGGCGAGGCCAACAGTTCCGAAGGTGACCTCGAGAAGATGGTGTCATCCGTCACGCGGGCACTAAATAAGAATCAAGGATACCTTGCACACGCTAAGAAAAAGTTGACTTTCGACGGAGCAAACATCGTGGAATTCCTAATAGATTACGAGAACCTGGCAGCATTACTAAAATGGAGTGAAGAAGAGAAGATGGACCACCTAGGGCAGCATGTGTTGCTTAGCCTAGGGCGAGACATAATGGCAATCGTCGCCGCCAACAGGTCTTGGAAGGAAACCCGGGATGTGATGATGAGGAAATACTTGGCGACAGAAAAAATGGCAACCGAAGCCAAATTAGCGACAGTACAAAGGAAAAACTTTGCCACGTACAACGACTTCCTGAGAGATTTTACCCTGGTGACGTTAAGGATCCCCGGGGTAACGGACCGCGGACCTCTCAATCAGAGGATCTGCCCAATCAAGTAGTCAGCTTGCTTGATCTACTGATTGTTGATTGATTGATTGTTTATTAGTAAATCAAGTAGGATAGTCAAATCTCTGCAAAAAAAAATTTCTCTTCTTTTTTTTTCGCAACTACGGATATTAGCATTTCGTTTTCTGTTTTATTCTGGGCATAGGGAGCGGACCTCTCAATCAGAGGATCTGCCCAATGAAGTAGTCAGCTTGCTTGATCTACTGATTGTTGATTGATTGATTGTTTATTAGTAAATCAAGTAGGACTTAGTCAAATCTCTGCAAATTTTTTTCTCTCCTTTTTTTTTCGCAACTACGGATATTAGCATTTCGTTTTCTGTTTTATTCTGGGCATACTAGGTTAACTAGTGAGGTCGTCATATTCTCGGACTTGATCTATTCTTCTCTGAAAGTGGAACCTCCAGTCTATTTCGCGCAATTTTTTTTTTTTCAAGATCGCATTTTTTTTTGAAAGTGAAACTCTGCGAAACCTTGCCTAGATCTCGCCCATAGTACTCTGAAATGCCTCACTCATAGCCGATCGACAGATATACAAAAAAAAAAAAAAGGGGGGGGGGGAAAGTGAAACTCTGCGAAACCTTGCCTAGATCTCGCCCATAGTACTCTGAAATGCCTCACTCATAGCCGATCGACA